AAGAAAGGAGGGAGGGAAGGAAGGAAGGAAGGAAGGTAGATGGGAAGGAAGGGAGAGAGAGAATTCAAAGAAAATAGAGGTGATGATTATTCTTTCAATCAGTTCAGAAATTACAAAGAATGTTCCTTTCCTTGGGGAATTATAGTAAAATATGCCACTCAAGGCCAACAAGACTGATTGGATGGTGAAGTGTATTAGTCTAAAAGACACACACTTATTCTGACTGCATTCTAAACTCCATACGCTGCTTTTGACTCAGAGCTGAAGGGAAAAATCTAAGAACTAATCTCTTGGTAAGTGAAAAATCCATCCAATATAGAGAAAATAATTATTGCGTTCCTACAGAAGAAATGAAGTTTGCATAGCTATCAATTTATATATGTGAATATGTTTACAATACATATTACCTTTTTCTTTTAAATATGCTGATTTTAATACTTTTGATAGATGCATAACTGTATTAAAGCTTTTGCAAACATTTGAAATAATTACCTGATAATTTTAAGTAACATTGTGTGATTTCCCTTAGCAGATGTCAGCATGAAGCAAGAATTGTTTACACAATACTGAACAATTAATCATGAAAACAATAATTTCCAGAGTCATACTTGAGCTTAAATGGAAAATAGAAGACAATTTTAGATGAATGAGCTTACATATTAAGTAATACAGAAAAGATAAAAACAGGAAATGGACACAAATTAAATGCATGAAAGGATGAATTCATATAGAAATCCGTTACTTCTTGCCTTCTTTGGCACTCTTTGTATAGTAACTGCACAGTGAGAATTTGAGAGGAAGGAACATAATAGACTTTCATACAGAGTGGAGTAAGTTTATTGAGGATGGAAGGAATAGTTCTTTTGTACAAGAAAAAAAGAGGAGCTTTCTTCAGGGGGTAAATGATACTAAGAACAGAAGCAAACTTGAAAGTTACTGGAAAAAACCATCTCTGATTTGACTCGGAAGTAGAACACATAAGCTGGTCCAAGAAATAACATAAAAATTCCTGAGTAATTCCAAGAACAGAGCAGTCACAGCCAATTAGATTTCAAATGCTATCACATTTTTTTCCTCTGCTCTTTAAAACTCTGTTAATATTTATTGAGTCAATTTAGGTGCTTACCTTGGATGTACAGAGTTCAATAATGAAAAGAAACAGCATTTTAATGAAATATTCTTAAAATAATACAAAAATGCACAATATTAAATATATCAAGATTTTAAATAAAGGTAGGATTTGAAGCTGCTCTTGCACCTTTCAACTTAATTTCCTTTTCAACATATAAAGAGAAGAAGCTGTTCCAGGACAAGAAATGCATCTTCTCTAAACTCACTTTTGCATCTCACAAACCAGTGACATTATTTCGTAGGTTTTGCTCTCAGCTTTAACAAATATTACAATCATTTTCTTTCACTTTCAAAAACATCTAATTTAAATGTAAACTTTATCAGAAAATTACCAGTACCAGTTTTAGACTTAATGACTTAAAATGCAGCATAGGCTAGCTGAATAAATAATTTAAATTCTTTCTACACTTTGATTCACATCAGGCTAAATCATACTATTTCTGATTCCAACCTGTCACCTTTTCTTCCCAGTTACAACATCTGAGAATTTGTGCAGAAGACTATGGAAAATATTAATAATGTCACGGAGTTTATTCTGTTGGGGCTTTCTCAGAAGAAGGAAATTAAGAATGTGTGCTTTCTATTATTCTTATGTTGTTATACAGTTATTTGGATGGGGAATTCACTCATAATCATTTCCATCATCTGCAGTCAGCTAAGTGACCAACCCATGTATTACTTTCTCAATTATCTTGCTCTCTCAGACCTGTGTTATACCTCAACAGTAACTCCCAAGCTAGTGGCTGGCTTACTGCAAGAAAGGAACACTATTTCTTATATTAGTTGCTTTGCACAGCTTTTTACCATGCACTTCTTTGGGGGCATTGAGATCTTCATCCTCACAGTGATGGCCTATGACCGCTACGTGGCCATCTGCAAGCCCCTGCACTATGCCATCGTCATGAGCAGGAAGAAGTGTAATGCCCTGGTCTTTGCTTGCTGTGCTGGGGCTTTTGTGCATTCTTTTGCTTTGTTTTACCTCACTATCAACTTACCTTTCTGTGGTCCCAATGAGATGGATCATTACTGCTGTGATGTGTATCCCTTACTGAAACTGGCCTGTGCGGACACATTCAAGACTGGGATCCTGGTTGTGGCCAACGCAGGCTTGATGGGTTTAGTGTCTTTTGTGGTCTTGATGCTGTCTTACTTTTTGATCTTCCACACCATCAGAGCTTACCCTCCCAAGAGCCGCAGCAAAGCTCTTTCCACTTGCAGTTCTCACATTACAGTTGTGGTTCTTTTCTTTGTGCCTATCTTGTTCATTTACATTAGACCAGCCACCACCTTCCCAGAAGATAAAGTGTTTGCTCTTTTCTTCTTCATCATTGCCCCCATGTTTAACCCTCTGATATATACACTGAGGAACAAGGAGATGAAGACTGCCTTGAGGAAAGTGTGGTGCCAGAATACAGTCTTTACTGGAAGGCCATTAATCTGAAAGGTCTGTCTACTCTTCGTTACATACCTTATTCAAGAGTTAGTCCTATTTTAACTTGATTGAAGCTGACAAAATCATATAAAAAATAAGAGTGGCCAGAGAATATTGGTTCATTAGTAGTATAATTTATTTTGACTTACTATCTTCTTATTTTTTAATTGATCTGTATTTCTTATTTACATAATTCTCTGGGACATTTGAGCCACTACATGTTCAATGGTTATACTGTTCTTGAATATGTGTTTGTTTTTGTAGTTTGTTTTCTTTTTATTTTTGGCTTTAATCTGAGCCCAAATGTCAAAACCTGCTACACTTTGTTCTCTGGTGACTCTGCATTTATATATTTTTCCGTTAAATTTTGTCACATCAGATTTAAAGCGTAGCTCTGATGGCTTAGTTATCAGGAGCTGTACTGCCAACTCAAAAGCATGGTAGTTTGAGTCCATCAACTCCCCCACAGGAGAAAGATGGGCATTCTCTTCCTCTGTGGGTTACTGCCTCTGAAAACTCACTGCAGGGGCAGCTAGGAACCGTTCAGACCCAACTGTGTATAACCACATGACCTAATATCACAGTAGCTTAAACCAACCAAAATGATGTTGGTTTGAACTTAAGCATGTGGAATTTAGTGTCATAAAGATGCCTTGGAAACCCTAATACTCTCCTTTAAGGTCACTATGACTCTGTATCAACTGAAAAATAATAGGTGGTTGTGATTACCTGGTATTCTTTCATTCTTTACTCTTTCTTCAGTTACTCTATCTATCTATCTATCTATCTATCTATCTATCTATCTATCTATCATCTATCTTAATGTCAACAACACAGAAAGATTAATATGTTTTTCTAAATTTTACTGACAATATGAGATACATATTTTGCTTATAAGAAAAACTGCTGTGCTCACTTCGGCAGCACATATACTAAAACTGGAACGATACAGAGAAGATTAGCATGGCCCCTGCGCAAGGATGACAGGCAAATTCATGAAGCGTTCCATATTTAAAAAAAAAAAGAAAAACTGCTTAATATTATTATTGTTATTATCACTAGCACTGTAAGTTAAAAATTTTAAAGTATTTTAATATATTTTATAAGTACTTCCTTTATACATTAAACTGCTTTTATAAGAATGTTAAGTTTAAAGATTTTGCAACTTATAGTCATACATGCAATACATGTAATTTCATAATGTGATGTTAAAACAGCTTGCATTCACTACAAGTTATTGCTTAACATCTTTTTCTCCTAAGGAACAATTGTGTCTGGCTTTGAAATGATTATGTAATTATCTATTTTCTTTCACTAATGTAAAAGCTAAAACTTATGGATAAAGTTCACATAAAGCTGTGAGTTAGATGTGTTAGGTAGTCAAGTAAAGAAAAATATACAAAGAAAAAGCATATATTCTGTGTTGGTATGAAAAAGTGTAGCTCACAGAACCTCATGGCCGAATTTACTCTCTATATATTATCAAATATTGTATTAAAAATGTAAAAAATTATTTAAGATTAGAATTTAGATAACTCAAATATTTATACTTAAAATTTTAAATTTGGTTGCCCTGTTCATTGTACTGTTTTTATGATATCCTTTATGGGATAAAAGACATAATAGAAACTTGAAAGTGAATGAAAAAACTAAGGAAGCAATGGGATTCTGCTAATGGTGGGGGGAAAATCTTATAAAAAGGGGTGAAAATGCTTAGACAACTCAAAGAATGTAATCAGTATCTCTAAACTGTACTCATAGACTTTGCTAAGTCGGTATATGTTGTACCATCTAAAAAAGAAAAATAATGAATTATATATAAATATACTTAAAATATTTTCTTGTGATAAGTGTGGTTCCTTCCATAGTGTGACAAAATGAATGTACTTTCTTCACTGATGTTGCAAATGTCAATACTAAACCAGTCAAGCATGATCAATAGTAAATTTACAGGTATATTAAAGTTTTGGTAAATAATTTTACATCCTGAATTTTAAAAAAGGACAAAAGATCTGAAAAAGAAATTGTTTAAATAGCATGGGTGATTAGATCAAGCCACAGGCCTTTTAGATTGCAGGATAGCTGCAAACCTCTAGGCTACCAGAACACTAACTTCAGTGGTGCTTGACAGAACTGTTTTTGGTGTGTGGCAAAGCGTGGAGGCCTGTAAAAGAACTGTTGTTTGCTCTGTCCGTAATAGTCTCATCATGGACTGAGCCCTTGTCAGAGCACCTGGCTGAGAGGAAAAGTGTGGAGACAGGAGAGGGCATAGCGCCTGGACTTAGTTCTTTACCTGACTTTACCTTTAATATGGATTTCTGCCTCCTTCCTTGTCTTGATAGTATCGGCCCTAAAATTCTTTCTCCCTCACTTTATTTTGCCTTCCATACCCAATTCTGACCCTAACAATCATATACCAAAGTAACACAGTCAGAGAAATAAACAGGAGGTCATCTAAATTTCTTGTTCTGAAAAAATCCCATGACATTACTCCTGTTTTTACGAGACAAGTAAAAAAGAGAGACTTTTCCAATGAACCGAGGCAAGGTAAAGCTGAAGCCCATCAGAGCCCCCTCCCCAAGACTTGATGTTTAAGGAAGCTGATGAGTATACTTAACTACTGGTGGCCACCTGGCTCTACTTGACGAGTGGAAGTGGAAAGCATCGGAACCTGCTTTCCAGGGCTTGATGTTAAAGGAAGGTGATGAGTGTGCTTAACTCGTGATGGCCACGTGGGGCCACTTAATGAGCGGATGCGGGAGACGTGCAGTCGTGAGGAGTCAGGCTGAGTTTGGACATGTTCTTTCAGCACTGCTCACCTAGCCGAAGGAATGGGTAAGTGAAGAAGGGTTGCTGGGTTTGGGAACAGGGGGTCCAGAGGATCCCTGATGTGATGAAGTAGCTCATATGGGACTAAAGTTGAGTGAAGAGACCAGTCAGTCTGAAACACAGGAAGATGAGTGGACTCCTGAGTGTGCAGCTGACACCCATTTGGACCTAGCCACCGAGAGGTGGGGATGTGTTGACCAGAAATCAACCAGATGAAGCGATGATGTTTAATTCTGTGAGCTAGTGTGGATTACTGTTACCTCCTGATTAGCTCTGGGCTGGTTCTCTACGTATAGATGCGGATGCACAAAGTTTCAACTGTAATAGAAGATTTTTCAGAGTAACAAGACATGCTTGTTCCCACAAAGTACTGATTTGATGTTGTTATTCTTATGTGCTGTCAAGTCACCTGTGACTCATAGCAATCCTTTATACAATCGCTCTGAACCCTGCCCTAGTCTGAGCCAATCTCACTGACATATGCAATACTACTGCCCCAGTTATAGTGTCAATCCATCTCATCTGGGGTCTTCCTCTCCTGTGCTATCCAAGCATGATGTCATTCTCCAAGGACTGGTCCCTCCTGTCCGTGTGTCCAAAGTATATGACATGGAACCTCAAAATCCTTTTCTCCAATGAAAAACTTGGTTTCTCCCTTTACAAGATAGATTTATTTGTTCTCTTGGTGCTCCATGGTGCGTTCAATACTCTTCTCCAGCACCACAACTCCAATGCATTAATTCTTCTGTTATCTTTAGTCATTGTCCAGCTCTTTGACACATAACACACACTGCATGCAAAGATGATGGCCTGAAGCAGGCACATCTTAGTCTCTAGACTGACATCATTGCTCGTCAGCACTTTGAAGAGGTCCCTGATGGCAGACTTCTGTCTTTTGATATCCTGACTGCTAGTGCTAAGAGTGTTGATTGTAGAGCAGAGCAAACTCTACAGAAATTCAATCTCTTCTCCGTCTATCAAGGTGCTGACAATTGGCCCAGTGGTGAGAATTGGCAAGCAAGATTGTGTCATCTACATAAGGTAGGTTGTTGATGAGTCTTCATCCAATCTCGAGGCCTCACTGTTCTTCATAAAGTCAAGCCTCTCAAATGATCTGTTCTACATATATATTGAAAAGGTACGGAAACAGTATGCATTCCTAATTCACTCAATTCCTGATTTTAAATCACACAGTGTTTCCTTGCTCTGTTCTGACAACTGCCTCCTGGTTTAAGTATAGGTTTCGCAAAAGAACATCCAAGTGTTCTTGGATTCCCATTCTTAAGGTTAGCCCAATTTGTTGTGATCTACACATTCAAATACCTTTGTATAGTCAATGAAGCATAGATAGACATGCCTCTGGTACTCTTTGCTTTCAGCTAAGATCCATCTGACATTGGTGATAATGTCTCTAAGGTCACAGTCTCTTCTAAATCCAGCATGTATTTTTGGTAGTTCTCTGTTAATGTACTGTTCTAGTCATTTTTGGAAAATCTTCAGCAGGATTCTACTTGTGTGTGCTATTAGTGACATTGCTCAATAATTTCCACACTGTTGGATCATCTTTTTTTTTGGGGGGGGGGGCGGGAGATAGGAATGAATATTGATCTTTTCCAGTCTGGTGGCCAGGTAGTTTTCCTCTAAATTTCTTAGCACAAACTGGTGAGTGTGTCCAGGGCACCTGGTTTGATAGGACCAGGCAAATAAGAAATTGACTATCTAAAATGGGAGGATTAAGACATAATGGGTGATTTAGCTGGCGTACATACAGCCATTAACATAGATGATGGTCAGGGGAGATAGACCCTTCAGATAATGAGACATAATGACTGGTAAAGCTAGAGGGTGGTCTGTGGTGTCAGAAACCTGGAGAATGGCTTTTCAGTCTGTTGTGTTAGCCCCAATTTGAGGCCTGGTCTCCAGCTATCTTAACGGTGGACACTTAGTCTTGCAAATCACCAACAGCAGTGGTAAGAGAATGCTTTCCACATTATGAAAGATGATGGTGGTGAGAGTGTGAAGAGATTATGGCACTGTTGTGAAGAGAATGCAACAATGTGTAACCAGAGGAACACTGGAGAAGGAGCCACGGCTAAAGGTTTTACTTGCTGGATGACTGAATGAAGAGCTGACTTGTAACTTCTCTGAGGTGAAGTTTGTTAGGCTAATTGAGGAGATCAGAGGGTTTTTTGTGCTGCTGAACTGAATCTACACTTTTAATTGGTGACTGAAAAGCTGCATGAACTATTTGAGGAGTTGTGTCTTGCTGTTAATCTGGCTTGAAATTGCTGTGTAAACCTGGACTTGCATTGTGAAATATTGTTTGCCTCACCATCCCCTTCCCCAAACCTATTTCCCTTATAAACCCCACAAATCTGAGAATCAATTTGCAATGAACATTGGACTCAACAATTCATAGAAATAAGTGCAGGACCAAGTGGAATGTTTGATCATGTAGTCATTTGTTTAGTATTATGCATATTATTGAGACAGTTCCACTTTATGAAACAGGTAGAAGTCAAATACATAGCTTCTGCTCCTTTTGCACCAAGTGGTTAGAAGAGATCCATATTTCTTCCAATTCAAAAAAAAGATGACCCAACAGAATGTGGAAATTATGGAGCAATATCATTAATATCATATTCAAATAAAATATTTCTCAATATCATAAAAAAGGTAGAACTGTACTTTGACAAAGGATTGCCAGAAATGCAAGCTGGATTTAAAAGAGGCTTTGCCAACAGGGATATCATTGTTCATGTTAGATAGGTCCTGCCTGAAAGTAAAGGATACCAGAAGAATTTGTATTTGTGCTTTATTGACTTTGGAAAGGCATTTGACTCTGTGGATCGTAAAAACTAATATTGAGAAGAATGGGAATTCCAGAACACTTAACTGTGCTCATGTGAAACCTATACGTAGGCTGTTGTGTCACTAGAGGAAGGAAACACTACATGATTTAAAATTGAGAAAAGTGTGCAATTGGGAGAAGTGTCCGCTTTCTCCATCCTTGTTCAATCTGTATGTTGAGCAAATAATTGAGAAGCTGGATTCTATGATGAAGAATGTTGCACCAGAATTAAAAGAATATTTATCAACTTCTTGCTGAAAGTGAGGAAGACTTGAGGCACTTACTGTAGAAGATAAAAGAATATATTCTTCAGTATGAATTGCATCTCAGTGTCAAGAAAACAAACATTGTTATGAATGGACTGATGGGCATCATTACAATAGATGGAGAAAAGATTGAAATTGTTAATGACTTCATCTTACTTGGGTCCACAATTGCTTGGTACCAGCAGCCAGGAGATTAGATGTTTTGCACTGGGAAAGTCTGCAATCTGGGACCTCTCCAAATTATGAAGCAGCAATGGTGTCAGTTTGAGGATTAAAGTGAGTCTAATTCAAGACATGATCTTTTCCATTTTTTCCTATGCATTTGAGAGCTGGACAATAAATATGGATAGCAGAAGAATTGATGTCTTTGAGTTGTGGTGTTGGTGAAGAGTCCTGAATATCTCATAGACTGCCAAAAGACCAGATAGATCTTGGAGAAGGTGCAGCCAGAGTGATCCTTGGAGGCAAAGCTTCATCTCACATACTTTTGACATGTTGTTAAGAGAGGCTTTTTCTTGGAGTGTAGCTGGTGAAAGAGTGGAAGACCCTCAAACAGATGGATTAACACAATTACTGCAGAGATGGATTCAAAGATGTATCAGAGATTGTAAAGATGACACAGGATAGGACAGGGTTCTGCTCTGCTGATCATCAGGTTACTATGAGTCGTACTCAACTCCATGGCTAATGACAACTACAACTATAAAAGTAGTAGTTTTTGTTCTGAAACAAAATGACACATGGGTGAGAAAAATAAAGCTATTATGCAATTCACATTGGAAAAAGAAATTTTAAAAATTCAAGCTATCTTGATATTCATTGAAGTTATTCATTCAACATATCTATTTTTAACAGTAACAGTACTATGGTGAAAACAGAATACATTCATGTCTTGGGCCAAATCTAAGATTTTGTGTCATTTGAATTTTTGTTTAGGTAACAAAATTACTCTGATCAAGAATAAATGAACCAGATATTTCCAAGTAGGTTTAAGTACAATCTGGAGACTTTTGAGAGTGGAAACATATAGCAACCACAAAACAGAACTTCTAGGAAATACTTAAGATAGATTTTACAGTAATAGGTAGTTTCTTAACTTTTAGGATCTCACAGAACCATGATGACCTCACAAAATTATTTTTCATAACTAACTAGAAAACCTGGTGGCCCGGTGTTATGAGTATGGTCAACACAAAGGCATTCAATTCAGATTAACTACCTGTTCCACGAGAGAAAGATGAGCAATCTCCTCCCATCTCATTTACTACTGTCTCTGAAAACATGCTGGAAGGTAGAGTTACTAAGGTATTGATTGATTCCAGCTTGATGGTATATAATTGCAACAACTAGTATAAAAGTTTATGACATAATTTAGGAGCACTTGAAACATGATTTACATAGCTGACAGGTTATTATGTGTCCCTGAGTTGAGTGTGGCTATAGCAACCCTATCAATAACAGATCTGGAGCCTATTCTATCCTGCACCAGCCTCATCATCTATATAACATACTCGAGTCCCTCACTGCAATCACTGAGTCAACCCAACTCCTTGATGTTCTTCCTCTCCTTCGCTGACCATCTACCTATCCAAGAATGATGCCCCTTTTCAAGGAAAAACCTCTCCTAACAACATGTCCAAATTGTATTAAACGGAGCTTTGCTATCTGTCTGAAAGACGCACTCTCATTGTACTTTCTTCAAGATCTATCTGTTTGCTCTTTTGATCTTCAATGGAATAGTCAGCATTCTTCTCCAACACCACAACTCAAATGCAGTGATTCTTCTCTTGCCATCCATATTCATTGTCCACATCTCACACATATATCAGGTGATAGGAAAGACTGTGGCTTGATAATGGCACACCTTAAACTTTAAACTGTTTCATGAGTAGCTCTATTTTTCTCCCCTTTACCTAATTGACCAGCTGTAGAAATGAACAAAAGCAAACACATTTGTTCTAATTATAAATTGTGACTAGTTGACATTGTCACTCATATCACATGCAAGCAAGATTCTACTGAAGGTTATCCAAACTGAAACAGTACATCAACAGGGAACTGCCTG